CTGTAATGGAATACATTTTAAAAGTAACCTTCCCAACACTGCCTGTTTAGGACTACTTTTGACTACTTCTGGACTTGCTGCCTTACGTAACTAAAGCTTCTTTTTTCATTTATTGAAATCTGTCTTGAAGTCTGCATTTTGGGTCCAAATTCTCCACAATCATCACAGAAGGACACGACCAGTAACATGGACACAGTCAATGGTGAGGGATTGACAGCGACGCACTCCAGACAACGAATCTCAACATTATGGGACTCACTTGGCTATTGGAGGACTTCAAAGATACTGATCCCCTGCAGCAACTACCATTTCCCTGCCCAATCCTCTGGTGATAAGAGTGACCGGTTTCTGCTTCACACCAGCCTCTCTACTCTCCACTCACTCTCTAGCCTCTTCAACGGTCTATTCTCCTCCACCACTGCCACCTGTATCCCAATCCAGGGGAAAATGGTCTCTGCCTAGGCCGCCTTAACAACGCCAGACTACTCGATTGGGGTTTGTCAGAGGCACCTGCTGCTTCTGCACTCCAGTCCTCCTTTTCCTGGAGAAAGCACAGATCCCATTGCTGCTCATCACCCGGGGCAGCACCGCCTAAAACCCACCTCTGTAAAGCCAGGACACTTTACTTTTTTTAATTCATTGAGGAAAACAGGCACAAGGTTTCTTTTGAGAATTCTAGCCAGGCTGACAAAGAGTGTTGAACCAAATATTTCTTTAACTGTCCCACAGATGTATCAATAAGTAGGCCAGCTCCAATAACTGCTGATATTAGATATGTCTCTACTATCAATCTTTCTAAGTTAACTTCAATAATTTCTTCCTCTAAACCATCAATGTGCCTTTTAGACCCCATTACTGCCAAGACTGCCCAAAGTCCACCATGAATTAATTCTTCAATTTTAAAGAGGACGTACCACAGGCTTTTAAGGCAGTGGCAAATAAACCATTATTCATAAAGCCATTGTTTGATCCTTAGCTAATTACAGGCTCATTTCTAACCTTCCCTTTACCTCAAAAACAGTTTACTGATCATTTGTAAAGTAATGTTGTTTTTTTTAAGAGTTTCAGTCAAGATTCAGAAAAAAAACAGCACTAGTGAAGGTTGACAGGGGATTTCTTAAAATCACCCCGCAATTCTTCAGCTGAGACACTTGAGTTAGAAAACACAAACACTGCAGTTGTCTTTACTCGCGAGGACAAGTGACAGAGCTCTCCTACACGCAAGAGACACTCACGGACTTGTGCTCTGTCACCGTCTGCGTTCTTTATTTACACAAGAGAAATGAATACATTTGTTCAGTGACATGAGCATGTGCGTATGTGATTGTGTGTATGTGTGTGTGTGCAAGGTCAGAACTGCTTGTTCAACTTCTTACTATCGCTGTAGAAAGGTTCAGATACAAATATCAGAACACGTTTCATAAAGAACAATCAGTTCTAAACAAGGAAAAGGTCATCATGCAGTATTCTATCATCAATAAACTTATATCACTAAAAGCTTATACTGACTATTCAGTACAATTTTCTATTGACAAAGGTTATGAATGATATTTTTTGTGGACAGTGGACTCATCTCTGTGCTTGTCCTGCTAGACCTTAATGCATTATTCAGTACCACTGACCACAATATTCCACTGCAGATATGACACTACTGTGAAATAGGAACTTCGCTGCAGTGGTTTTGTGGGGAGTCTTCCTCGTACACAAAAGTAGTCACAAAGTTCCAAAAAGTTATGTGGTAGGAAAAAGTACATTTTAAACATACTTCCTTTAGGCAATAGTATTACAAAACACTGCATAAATTTTAATTGACATCATTGCTATAAAAAAAGTCTCTTTTTTTTCCTTGGGACCAGAAAGAGAGAGCACATTTCTCCCATATTAACGTCTACTCATTGCCTCCCTGTTCAATTCAGAACTGAATTTAAAATCCTTCTTCTTACATACAGAATCTTAAATAATCAGACCGCGTCATATTTTAATGACCTTATAGTAACTTTTTATCCCAACAGAGCACTTTGCTCTCAGACTGCAGGCTTACTGGTGATTCCAAGAGTTTTCAAAAGTAGAATGGGAGGCAGAGTCGTCAGTTTTAAGGCCTGTCTACTCAGTTCAATTCAATTTGATAAAATATTATTTATGTCGTCAAATCACAACAATTTTTGCCTAAGGCAAGTTTCCTCTACAGTGGAATTTATAGAAGTAATAACCAGCAGCTTGATAAAAATTATAAAGTCAGAGTTAAAATACAATACTACGGAAGAGTAGAGCTGCCACCCAGGCAAAAGAAAAATACAAGTGTATCACGTTATAACGTGAAAAGTTTATTGTTCTAACAAGATACTTTTCCTGTTTGTACAATATA